TTCCTTTCCTTTCCTTTCCTTTCCTTTTTCCCCCTTTCCCCCCTTGCTTTCTCCAACAACCCACGGGGGCATTCCAGCCCCAGATCCCCCTTTCTCCTGCCTGGCACCGCCATCCCAGCGTGTTCCTGGCCGTGAGCTCAGCCCTGGCTCTTCCCTGCGGCAGGAAGCCGTTTGTCAGCGTGGGATGGGCTGGGATTGGGATGTGTCACTCCTGGATCAGCCTCGGGAATGGGGGGGAGATGTCCGGCAGCTGCAGGGGGGAGCCGAGGCACGTGGGGTGAAGGCAGGGCGGGGGTGCAGCTTCCTAAAAGCAACCTGAGCTTTCTCACAATCCTCTCGGGATTTTTGGGAAGCCCCCCTCGCTCCTTCCCGGGGTGTTTCCTCGGGATTACCACCCTGGCGGTGCCGAGAGTGACACAAAGTGACATTCCTGGGTCTGGAGACCCTAAACCTCCCCCATCCTCAGCTGGTCCCTGAGCACGGGGTCGATCCTCTCTTCTCCCAGCCGGAAGCTTCTTCCAGGGGGGGCTTTATCCCAAGGAGAATTTGTTCCCTGTGGAGAAGCCGCCACCCTGCCCGGCTGTTGGAGGTGCCCGGGGTGGGCACTGGGCTCCCCCCATCCCAGCCCAGGATCCCAAAGCGGTTTTGGGGGCAACCCTTTCCTGTCCCTTGGCCTGTGATTCCTGTTCCCACGGGTTGGGGGCTGTGCCCGAAGCCCTGCGAGGGGGCTCTGAAGGGGGACAGGGATGGCTCAGCCGGGTCGGGACACGGCAGGAATTGGAATGGGCTGCCCAGGGAAGTGATTCTGCCCCTGGACCGGGCACTGGTGAGGCCACACCTCGAGTGCTGTGCCCAGTTCTGTGCCCCTCAGCTTAGAAAGGGTATTTAGGGGCTGGAGCGTGTGCAGGGAAGGAGCTGGGAAAGGGTCTGGAGCACCCTGAGGGGGCTCATCCTGAAGAAAAGGAGGCTCAGGGGGGACCTTCTGGCTCTGCAACTCCCTGACAGGAGGGGGGAGTCGGGGGGGGATCGGACTCTGCTCCCAGGAACCAGCAGTAGGACAAGAGGGCACAGCCTCAAGTTGTGCCAGGGGAGGTTCAGTTTGGACATCGGGAAGAAGATTTTTACAGAGAGTGATGAGAATGGGCTGCCCAGGGAGGTGGTGGAGTCACTTCCCTGGAGGTGTTTAAGGACACTCTGGACGCGGCACTCGGTGCCATGATCTGGGTGACAAGGTGGGGTTGGGTCCCATGTTGGACTGGATGGTCTCAGAGGTCTTTTCCGGGCTAAACGACTCTGCGTGATTCGCTGTGTCCCTGTGCTGGGACACCCGGAGCAGCTCCAGGCTGCTCATCCCTCCTCTCTCCGCAGGCTGCTGGCTCCGGGATACTCGGAGACTCACTACAGCGGGGACGGACAGCCCGTGACCGTGACCCCCAACCACACGGTGGGTGCTGGGGGGGGTGGGTGGGTGCGGGTCACCTCTGGTTTTTGGAATGAAGCCAAAGCCGTCCCGGGGCGGGGCGGGGCGGGGCGCTGCGTTTTCCCTGGCAGCATCCCCGGCGCCTGTGGCAGCAGGAATGCGGCCGCACGCGGCTCCTGTATCTCTTGGCCGCGGTTCAGCACCTCGGGACGTAAACACAGGGCAGCACCAGGCCCTCCCCGATGTCCCTCCACCGGCCTTTTGTCACCCTTCCAGCGCGCCGGGCCCGGCTGTGTCCCGGGCTGAACTCCGGCTCTCCCGCCTCCCTCCCGGCTCTTCCCGGCGTGGAGGGACGCGGCTCCCCTGGCCGGGAAATGGGAAATGGGTTTTGGTGGTTTTTTTTTTCTGGGATCAGCACGCGGGGTTTGTTGCTGCCCAGCCCTGCTGAGGGACCCCACTGAGGGTCTCCATCCCCTCTCTCCAGGAGCACTGTCACTACCACGGCCACGTCCGCGGCTACGGCGGCTCCTGGGTTGTCCTCAGCACCTGCTCGGGAATACGGTATGGAAAAACGCAGGGTGGGGGCGTTGTGGGGCTGGCAGAGGGTGGGATGGACCCACTGCTCCTTCCTCCCTGCAGAGATCCCCCCCTGGAGCAGCACCGATGCTCCTCCATCTCTGCTCCAGATGGTTCACGGGGCTGATTTTTCCACTGCTCCCATCCCATCCTTCTCCTCCCTTCTCCCATCCTTTGCCCAACCCCAGGAGCAGGCAGGTGAGGGGAGAAAGAACAATTTCCTGGCAGGATTGGCTTCCTTCAAGGAAATTCATCCCTAGAGGGGGAAAGACCCTCAGAACTGAGCTTTGTTCACGTGGTCTGATGGTTTTGATGCCGAGGGTGTGTTTGCTCCTGGGGCGGTTTGGACAAAGATCCCCATCCCTGATCCCTGCTCCCACCCTGGGTGTGGGCCAAGCTGAGGTGCCATGAGTTTGTGGGGCCTCAGGGACTGAGGGAACCACAGGGGAAGCACTGCAGGAGCCACCAGGGGCTGTTCTCCTCTTCCAGGGGTCTCATAGTGCTAAGCAGCAACACCAGCTACTACCTGAGCCCCCTGGACCCCCCCGAGCTGGGGCACCACGTCATCCACAGAGCAGAGCACCTGCCCATCCCAGCTGGCACCTGTGGGCACGGGGATGATTTTGGGAGCACCGTGGCCGACATTGCCCAGCTCTTCCAACCGGGGCACCACCAGGTAAATTCACCCTGGGGTCTGTTGGGAAGGGGCAGAGGGTTGGGAGCGGGACTGTCTGCACCTCTCCTGATGCCCTGTGCCCATCCCCTTGGCACCTGGGCAGGGCTGTGCAGGCAGGTGGGACATGAGGGGTCTGTGTGGGTGATTTATCTGGTCTGAGTTTGGGCAGGAGACCCCCAGAGAGAGGATGTGTGGGTTGGACACCGGTGCTGGGACTTCCTGTGGGACATGAGGTCATTTGGAGACACCCAAATGTTCCTTGTCACCTCACGCCTCAGCTTCCCCTCCCAGCTGTCCCTCCTGAGCAGCTCTGAGGTGTGTGAGATGGAAGATGCCCAGAGCCATGGGCTGACCCTTTCTTGGCTCCTCTGAGCCTTGTGTGTGTGTCCTGCAGGTGAGGAGAGATGCCTGGAGGACCATGAAGTACATGGAGCTCTTCATTGTTGCCGATCACACACTGGTGAGTGCTGAGGGGGGGACAGAAACCTGGTCTCCTGCCAAAAAAACCAGGTCCCCTCACTGTGTCCCTTCCCGATTTTCCTCTGGTGACCTTTCCCCATCCCCACTTTTCTGCAGTACAGGAACCAGAACCTCAACCTGGGCCAGACCAAGCAGCGCATCGTGGAGATCGCCAACTACGTGGACAAGGTGAGGGACCTGCCGGGCCCTTTTGGCCACCCCTGTCACTCCCAGGGCCTGTGAAAGCACCTGATCTTGGTGCCAACCTGGTGGTGGCCCCCAGGGACAGTCCTCGTGTCACTAGGGCGAGGAATCATAGAATTACGGAATCATTTAGGTTGGGAAAGGCCTCCAAGTCCATCAAGTCCAACCATTCCCAGCACTGCCAAGGCTGCCATCAAACCACATCCCCAAGTGCCACTTTTAAATCCCTCCAGGGGTGGGGACTCCAGCACTGCCCTGGGCAGCTGTGCCAGGGCTGGAAAACCCATCAAGGAATTTGGGGGTTGGGACGAACATGGTGGGAATCGGTTTTTTGGGCCGGGCTGCACCGAAGTCCTGCCCTGGCATCAGTGCCGGCTTCCTTGGCACAGGAGGGATACACTAAGGTATTGCCAGCCCGTGGTTGGCATCACGCCACCCTGCTTGGCTCCTGTGCCCGTAGAGCCCGTGCTTGCAGGTGGATTTGGGAGAAATGTGTCCCGGAGTCACCTGGCTGGAGGGACGCGCCGAGACCCACTGGCAGGGATGGAGGATTCCCAGCGAATCCCGCCTCCATCCCTTGCATCCCTGTCTCCCCTGCAGTTTTACAGGCTGCTGAACATCAAGGTGGCCCTGATCGGGCTGGAGGTGTGGACGGAGCGGGACCACTGCGCCGTCACCAGCGACGCCAACGCCACGCTCTGGGCCTTCCTGCAGTGGAAGAAGTCGCTGAGGTCCCGCAAGAAGCACGACAACGCCCAGCTCCTCACGTGAGCACCCCCCTGCCCTGCTGTCCCCAGGCCCAACTGGCACCGAGGTGCCCAAATCACCCTGGGGGGGCTGAATTCCCGCTCCGTTCTCCTTCCCGGGCAGAGGGAAGACGTTCGGGGGGACGACCATCGGAATGGCCCCGCTGGAGGGGATGTGCAGCATGGATAACTCCGGAGGTGTCAGCGTGGTAAGAAGGTTGTGAGGGGTCCCCGCTGCTTCTCCCAGCTGGAGAACCTCATTGCCACTTGGAGGAGCTCTCCATGGATTGGGAGGATCAACCATCTGGGGTTGGTCCTGGGATGCAGCCTGGGAGTGAGAGAGGATGTTGGTGGCTCCTTATCCCTCTCAGATGTTGACCAGGTACTAAGGAGGGTGAAAAGGGGCTGATTTAAAGGTCTCCCACCCCATGTGCACCCCAGACTCCAGCAGCGCTGGAATCTCCTGTGATGCTGCTGCCCCTCATCTTGAGGAGCCCCTGCTCGTGCTCCCTGGTGTTGCGGGGTCATCTCTGCCCAGACGACTCTGATCCTCCTCCTCATTGTCCTGGTCGTGATGGTGGTGGCCAGGGTGCCTGTGATCCCTGGGCAGAGTGGTGGGGGCCACCCAGGGTGCTGGTTTTTGGGATGTGCCTTGAGAAGTTGGTTCCAGCAAAAGATCTTCCCAACAGTCCCACGTGGGACTTCCAGGAGAACAAACCCCACTTGTGCCGTGAACCTTCCTCCAACCCTCTCCGTGTTCGTCCCATGGGATCCAGCTGCAGTCCCGGGGGTGTTGTGGTCCCTCCACCAGCCCAGCCCCATTCCCAGCTGTGGGATCACCCCTGTCCCTCCCTCCTGGCTGACCCGTCCCCCCTCCCCGTGCAGGACCACGCGGAGCAGCCCATTGGAGCCGCCGCCACCATGGCCCACGAGATCGGCCACAACTTCGGGATGGTCCACGACACCCAGGGCTGCTGTGTGGAGGCCACCCCAGAGCAAGGGGGCTGTGTCATGGCAGCAGCCACGGGGTAAGAGCTGCTGGGGGTGGGATGTGTCCCCAAAGCCCCCCCAGTAGAGCATGGGTACTGTTTGCAGCCGGGTGGGATGGGAGTGGGGAGGGAATCTCGGCATCTCCGGGCTGGGAGAACTGGGGGGGTTCACCTGGAGAAGAGAAGGCTCCAGGGAGAGCTGAGAACCCCTTGCAGAGCCTAACAGGGCTCCAGGAGAGCTGGAGAGGGACTGGGGACAAGGGATGGAGGGACAGGACAAGGGGACAAGAGGGAATGGCTTCACGTTCACAGAAGGGTTAGACGGGATATTGGGAAGGAATTCTTTACTCAGAGGGTGTTGAGGCCTTGGCACAGGTTGGGCAGAGAAGCTGTGGCTACCCCTGGATCCCTGGAAGTGTCCAAGGCCAGGCTGGACAGGGCTTGGAGCACCCTGGTCTTGTGGAAGGTGTCCCTGCCCGTGGCAGGGGGTGGAACTGGATGGTCTTTAAGGTCCCTCCCAACCCAAACCACTCTGTGACTATTCTCTGATTCCCTGGAGCGAGCACATCCCAGGTTCCAGGTGTGAGCAGGGCTGGTGGTCTCCAAAGGGCAGCAGAGGAGTAGCAGCCCCATCCCAAAATAGCTAAGGATGGAAGCAGATGGATGTTTTCTGGCACACACGTCCCAGGAATCCAAGGCATTTTCCTGCTCTATCCCACACCTCAGCTCAAAGGAATTACCCTTTATTGTAAGACCAGAGGGCCAAGGGGTGCCCAGTCCCCCGTCATTCCCATGGGGAATCGTGGCACTGTGGGGCTGGGGTGGGATGAGCTCACATCCCTCATCCCAACACTCCTAAATCTGGGTGCAGGATGTCCAGGGTGTCAGGCATTAGTTTTCCTGCTCTTTGGAATCCATTCAGGGCTTGTTTTCCTTGCTTTTACCCTTTAACTCAGGCCAAAGCTGTGTCAGATCCATCTGGTTGGTGCCACTTCCCGCTCCAAAGTTCTTCTCCTTTTGGGTTTTCCATCTCCTGACAACACACTCATCCCAGATATCCCTGCACTGCAGAAAAGCAGGTTTATTCCCTGTTATTCGATCCCACCTGCTCTTCCAAGCAATAAAGATCATGGAAACCCCCCAGTATTGTTTCAGGGTGGGGCTCTCAGGGCTGTCAGACCCTGGCACTGATCCCATGGGATTTAACCTCTCCCTGGGTAGATTTTGGTGGGGAAAATGACATTTTTGACTGTCTTCAACCTGTCCCTATTTGCACATTGATCAATATTGGGTATATTGCCTTTTTCACCCGGCAGAACTTGTAGGGACTTAGAACTTTCTCAGATTTCCTTCAGGTTTCAAAAACGCTTTTACAAAACATCCTTCTGTGTCATCTCAAAAAACGAGGTGTCCTGACATGAAATAAAACTGCTTTTTCAGGGTTAGGAGGAAATGAAACCATTAGTAAGAAGGAGGAAATGATTCTTCATAAATCACACAAATAACCCACAAACTTTGCAAAAACATGGAAGAACTGAGCTCTGAGTTCCTCTAGAAAACCAGTTTCTCTCCAGCTCCTCAGACTGGTTGGGCTGTTGGAAAAATAACCTTACACTTTGTTAGGCTCTAATTATTTCTTTTGCTGTTCTGTGGGATTTTTTTGGGGATCCTTTCCCATATTTCTTTAATTTTTTAAATGATTTTCACCCATCACAACCCCAGAGGTGTTTGAAGAGCCCCAGAGGGTTATTTCCCCTCGGCGGTTCAGAGATAACATCTTTTCAACTGACATCCTGAGCAGATGTGGGGACCTGCCCTGTGGTTATTTTGGGGGGGGGTTGTGGTGTCCCAGGTGCAGGGGCACAGAGGTGGCATCTGCACCAGCCTGGAGCTCACAGAGCCTGCAGGGGTTGGTGCTCCTGGGCTTGGAGGGTCTCACCACGAGAGTCTCCATCTCCAAGAGGTTTCATGCTGGAGGGTTGATGCTCCAAGGGTGGCTTTACCTGTCCCCTCCATCTCATTCCTGAGGATTTTGGGGTTCAGGGAGTGTCCCCTGGTTGTTCTGGTGCTCACCTCATGCCACTTGGGATGGGAGAAGTTCATGGACTCATGGCTTCTGCCCTTGGAAGGCTTTGTGCCAGTTTGTCCATGTCCTTAATTCCCGGCTCTGACTGGTTTTCCACCTTCTCCTGGTCCTGATCACCCCATTTCCCATCCCTGCTGGAAGGGTTTGTGCCAAATGTGCTTGATTCCCAGTTCTGACTGTGGTTTTCCACCTTCTTCTGGTCCTGATCTCCCTGTTTCCCATCCCTGCTGGAAGGTTTTGTGCCAAATGTGCTTAATTCCCAGTTCTGACTGTGGTTTTCCACCTTCTCCTGGTCCTGACGATCCCGTTTTCCATCCCTCCCTCTCTGTCCCGTGCACAGACACCCCTTCCCTCGCGTGTTCAGCTCCTGCAGCAAGAGGCAGCTGGAAAACTACTTCCAGAAGGGAGGTGGGATGTGCCTCTTCAACCTGCCCGACACCAAGGACCTGGTGGTGGGACGGAAATGTGGCAACGGCTTTCGGGAGGAAGGAGAAGACTGTGACTGTGGGGAGGTGGAGGTAGGAGCTGCTGTTGCATCCCTTCCCTGCAGAGGCCAAAAAAGACCACGTGGAGAGGGGTGTTTCCAAGGGAAGAGGGTTTGCTGGTCACCTCAGGGGCTCCATCCCAGTCCCACCTTCCTAAATCCATTTAACCCAGTCCTGGCTTCCTTCTCGACTTCCCTCCCGAGTGCTCAGTTCTTCCTCATCCCCTCCGTGCCTCGGTTTCCCTGTTGGCAAAATGAGAAGGGCAGTGATGTGAGGGGTGGAAAAGGGGCTGGGGGAAGGGATAGGGAAGGGATGGAATCACGGTCATGGAACCACGACCACGGTGTTGCCTTCTCCTCCCGCGCAGGAGTGCACCAACCCCTGCTGCAACGCTCACAACTGCACGCTGAAGGAGGGGGCCCAGTGTGCCCACGGGGACTGCTGCCACAACTGCAAGGTGAGACCCCCACCATGCCCCCACCGTACCCCCAACATGTCCCCACCGTGCCCATGGGATGAGCGTGGACACACGGCCCCGTTGTTCCCTCGGGAATTGTGTACTGCACATCCAAAAGGTCAAACTCTGCCGTGCCAGATGAGGGTTATGTGTCAACTTGTGTCTGCAGGAGAATCATGGAATGGTTGAGGTTGGAAGGGACCTGAAAAACCATCCAGTCCCACCCCCTGCTATGGGCAGGGGCACCTTCCACTAGCCCACATTGCTCCAAGCCCTGTCCGACCTGGCCTTGGACACTTCCAGGGATCCAGGGGCAGCCACAGCTTCTCTGGACAACCTGAGCCAGGACCCCACCACCCTCACAGCCAACAATTCCTTCCTTCCCAATATCCCATCTAACCCTGCCCTCTGTCCATGGGAAGCCATTCCCCCTTGACCTGTCACTCCATGAACTTCCCAAAACCCCCTCTGCAGGAGAATCTCCTCTGGCAGCTTTCTGGCTGTGGTCCAGCCCGAGAATGTATCTCCATACCTTGATGGCCCCATATGGTCCCACAGAGGACATTCCAGCTGGTTCATGTCCCCAGGCTGTGTCAGGAGGCAGCAGCCAATCCCACCTTGTCCCCTTGGCTCAGTTTCTCTCTCCTCCCGTGGCAGCTGAAGGCGGCCGGGACGATGTGCCGGGAAGCAGCGGGATCCTGTGACCTCCCAGAATATTGCACTGGTGCCTCTCCCTACTGCCCAGCCAACGTGTACCTCCTGGATGGCTCCTCCTGTGCCTATGGAGAGGCCTATTGCAACAACGGGATGTGCATGACCCACCACCAGCAGTGTGTCCAGCTCTGGGGACCAGGTGAGTCCCACCAGCTCCAGCCTGGTCTCCTTCCCACCCCTCTCCATGGCATCTACCTGTGGGGTTGGGGGGTATTGGGTGGAGGGGCATTGGCATAGATTGCCCAGAGAAGCTGTGGCTGCCCCTGGATCTCTGGAAGTGTCCAAGGCCAGGTTGGATGGGGCTTGGAGCAACCTGGGCTAGTGGAAGGTGTCCCTGCTCATGGCAGGGATCTCTTCCATGGCCAGGGATCTCTTCCAACCCAAGCCACTCTATGGTTCTATTACTAAAATCCTTTGCAAGACCTTGGAAAAAAGGGAATTTCATCCCTCTTGTGCTGTCCCTGGTCCAGCACCCTCAGCAGCAGCTCTTCAGGAGACTTTTCCGTGGTGTTTTCTCCACGAACATCCAGCTGCTGCTTCCATTTCCAATACTTTTCCCCACTTCCTGCTATCCCACATCCCAGTGGGACCTTTCCTGCCTCCCTGCAGGTGCCTGGCCAGCTCCAGATGCCTGTTTCCAGGATGTGAACATGGCTGGGAACACCTACGGCAACTGTGGCAAGGACAGCCAAGGGCGCTACGTCAAGTGTGACAAGAGGTGGGTGCAGCCCTGGCACCCCTGGGTGCCCCATCTCCTCCTCTTGCACCCACAGCCCCCCTGAACTGTCCCCTGGGAGGGGACTAGGAGGCTCCTACCCCCAACCTCTGGGGTCAGGCCCGTTTTTGGGGCCTGAGGAAGCCACCACATCCTTCTGGACTCTGTTTCCGTCAGTGCCGGGAGGTTGGACTTGATGGTCTTGAGGTTCTTTTCCGACCCAAATGATCCTGTTGTCCCATCAGGCAGCACCTAGTGCAGGGAAGATCAAAGACAGCATCAGGGGATGCTGTTTAGGGAGAGTGTGCCCCCGGTATTCCCAGTTTATGGAATCATGGAATATCCTGAGTTGGGAGGGAGCAACTCCATCGAGTCCAACTCCATCGAGTCCAACTCCTGGCCCTGCACAGGACACTCCAAAAATCCCACCATGTGCCTGGGAGTATTCCAGGGATATTAGAAGCCCCCCTGACTGTTCTCTCCACCATTTCTCTGTGCTGTCCATGATTTATCCAAGTCCTTCCCGAACCTGCCGAGTCACAACACGGCGTGGCCATGAATCCCAAGGGAGACGATCCCACGGGCGTGGGGAGACCGAGGGACTTCCCACCCTCACCTCGGCTCTTCCCCGCTCCCAGGGACGCCATGTGTGGAAAGATCCAGTGCCAGAGCTCGGCCAAGAAGCCCCAGGGGACCAACACGGTGTCCATCGACACCACGATCCGCTTCAACGGGCGTGAGGTGAAGTGCAGGGGCACCTACATGTACACGGCCAGGGACGACGAGGACGACCTGTCCGACCCCGGGCTGGTGATGACAGGGACCAAGTGTGGAGATGGGATGGTGAGTGCCCCTTCCTGGGGCTGGGGGCTCCTGCAGGAGACCATCGTCTCCTGGGCTCTTTCCCAGCTCCAGGGTGGACTTTGGGTCTTTGCCAAGGGGATGTGGTTTCCTCCACGCGTGACCTGGTGATGTCTCGATCGGGGCGTTTCGAGATGTTTGCAGGCCACCAAATTCTCATCTGGGGCATTTCTAGATGTCACCAGATGTTTGTAGGCCACCAAATTCTTCTCATCTGGGGCATTTTTAGACGTCACCAAGTGTCTGTAGGCCACCAAATTCTCATCTGGGGCATTTTTAGACGTCACCAAGTGTCTGTAGGCCACCAAATTCTCATCTGGGGCATTTTTAGACGTCACCAAGTGTCTGTAGGCCACCAAATTCTCATCTGGGGCATTTCCAGATGTCACCAGATGTTTGTAGGCCACCAAATTCTTCTCCCTGGCCTCAAAGCTTCTTTTCCAGTTCAGTTTATAGCAGAGCAAGCCCAGCAAGAACTGCCACAGGATTTTATGGATGAGGCTTCCTCTCATGAAGAAACTGTTTCCCAGGGGAAAGCCATGTTAGGAACCAACACGGCAAATCCAAAGCTGACTGGGAATTGGCCTCCTTTGCAGTCCCTTTGAGCTGAGGAAGGGCAGAGGCCCGGTGCAGGACATGGTAGCAGGGGTGTCTGCCAGAGGGAGTTGGCTGTGGAGATACTTCCTTCCCTATCTGGCATTTGAACAGTGGAATTTTCATCCCGGTTTGGGATGGGAGGACAAAACGTGGCTGGGTTTGAAATCCAGCAGCGTTTTTTTTTTTGGCTGAGTTTTAAGGCCAGATGGGGAACAGTTTGTCCAGGAGCTGCCAGGTGGGTTGGCAGGGGAGGGGGCTGGGAGTGGTGGTGGCTGGTCCTGGATGTGGGAATGGCAGAGCCAAAAATCAGGTGAAATCCATTGACCTGGAACGACGTGATTTATCCCAACGGCATTTTCCAACGGACAACATCCTGAAGGACAACATCCTTCCAGAGAACCCCCAGGGAAGCCCTCAGAAGATCAGTGTGGCCTCTCCTGGGTCTCTCTCTAACCTCCCTGGCTCTCCCCCAGGTTTGCAAGGACCGCCGGTGCCAGAACGCCTCCCTTTTTGAGCTGGAAAAGTGCGTTTCCCGGTGCAACGGCCACGGGGTGAGTTATGACCCAAGACCTCCAGAAAAATCCCGGGATGAGGAGCGGATTTTTAAGGCAAACCAAGTGTTTCCCCCCAGGGATGAGCCCTCTGGATTTCTGCCTTTCCTATCTGTCCCAGGCACCAGCTCCAGGTGAGGCTGAGCTGGGATCTTTGCTCACCCGTGTCCGAGTGAGAAGAAGGAAATCATTCCTGATGTAAGAACCATCTGCACAGTTTGGATCAGGGTCCAGTCTGAACTCGAGAGTGTTTAGAGCTCAGAGCAGGTGCCTGTTCCCTCTGAGAGAAAAACAAGGGTTAGAAAGACAACTGGGACTGCAAAAAACCAAGGAAGTACAAAGAGACATTGTTGTCCAAAGCTCAAAGGGTTGCAAGGGTTGGAGCTCTGTGGAATGTGGGGCTTTGTGAGATGAGACAACAGCAACTTGTGGGAGATCTGCTGGACTGTGTGGAGGGATGTGATTGTGAAACATCCACATTGACCCTTTTGTTCTGCTCAGAGAGCTGGGGGAATTCACCTGGAGAAGAGAAGGCTCCAGGGAGAACTGAGAGCCCCTGGCAGGGCCTAAAGGGGCTCCAGGAGAGCTGGAGAGGGACTGGGGACAAGGCATGGAGGGACAGGACACAGGGAATGGCTTCCCAGTGCCAGAGGGCAGGGATAGATGGGATATTGGCAAAGCTGTGAAGGTGGGAAGGAGACCCTGTCCCAGGTTGGGCAAAGAAGCTGTGGCTGCTCCTGGATCCCTGGAAGTGTCCAAGGCCAGGTTGGAGCAACCTGGGCTAGTGGAAGGTGTCCCTGCCCATGGCAGGGGGGTGGAACTTGATCACCTTTGAGGTCCCTTCCAACCCAGCCCATCCTGTGATTCCCTGATGCTCAAGGGGTGAACATTAGCAGGGCTTCAAGCTCCTTCAGCCCGAATTCCTGTCACCCACCACCTACTCTTGTCCCCACCCCACAGGCCACCACTTCCACACCTTCCCTGGTGGTCTCCAACCCTTCTCCTCTCCCTGCAGGTCTGCAACAGCAACAAGAACTGTCACTGTGACGCCGGCTGGGCTCCCCCCTACTGCCAGGAGCCGGGGCTGGGGGGCAGCGTGGACAGCGGCCCCGTGCAGCCCAACAGTGAGTCCCGGCTTCTCCGCTGCTCCTGGGGCTGGAATGATGTCAGGAGAGGGGGAAATGGGGGGGGGGATAGAGCTGCTGGCAGCCCTGCTCCCCAAGGGGCTGGGTTGGGTCTGTCCAGGCAGTCCCACAGTCTGTGGTCAGTGGTCGTGGTCACCTCAGTTGCTTGGTGGCCACCCATTGCCATGAGAGGCTGCTGGATGGTCCTGCTCCCTTTCCAGAGGTGGGATCAGCAGTGATGTGCCTAGTTTGGGGTGATGGGCGGGTGGGATCAGTGTTCCCCAGCGTCTCCCAGCCCCTCACTGCCCTCTGTGCTTTCCCTGCCAGACCACGAGGCCGCTTTGATCGCCCTCCTCGTCGTCTTCCTCTTCCTCCTCCCGGCCCTGACCATGAGCATCTACTACTGGTACCGCAGGGAGAACTCCCTCCTGAATAAATGGATAAAGGAGATGAGGAAGAGGAGCCAGGAGGCCTACAGGTGGGTGGGGCATCCTAAATCCCTCCTCTCGTGAGGACCCAGCAGGACTCAGGTTTCATCTGGCCTGGTGGGAATGGTTGTGGAGGAGCTGGAGGTGCCCAGGGCCATTTTCAGAGTTTTATGAGACCTGGTTTGAGATCTGAGGAGTTTTCTCCTGGGAAAATTCGAGGCTTTCAGCAATTCCTTGAGCAGAAGAAGAATCCTCTGGACAGGAAAATCCCAGGGATGATGATAAAGGTGGTTGGTAGCAGGGGGGTTGAGTTCTCACTCCCAGCAGGCTGCAAGAATTCCAAGGGCTCTAAGAACCACTGAATTTTGATAGTCTCGTTATTTCCCCTCCCAGCAGAGGTAAAGACACAAAACCCCCTCAGAGCCCTGAAAATAATTCAAGAGGAAACCCCAAAACCAACCAACCCTTCGTTCCCCGCATTGCCTCGAGATAGACTCATCCAGCAGTGCCGTTAACGAGCTGTTAATTGAGACAGGACCTCCCCAGGGGCAGAATTTCGGGAGGCAGCTGTTCCCGAAGTGGTTGCTTTATGTTGCCATCCGTGATTGACTTTGGAATTCCCAGCAGGAACAAATCCATCGGTCGGAAGTCGAGCAATGGCCACCCCAAAGCTGCCTTCACCTTGAGGAACATTTCCACCTCCAGCCACACCGATAAAGTAAGTGATAACTCATCAATAAAGTGATAAATCATCAATAAAATAAGTGATAAATCATCAATAAAGTGATAACTTATCAATAAAGTAAGTGATAACTCATCAATAAAGTGATAAATTATCAATAAGTGATAATATCGATAAAGTGATAACTCATCAATAAAGTGATGAATCATCCATAAAGTAAGTGATAAATCATCAATAAAATAAGTGATAACTTACCAATAAAGTGATAAATCATCAATAAAATAAGTGACAAATCATCAATAAGTAATAACTTACTCTATTGATTAGTGATAAATCATCAATGAAGTGATAAATCATCAATAAAATAGGGGATAACTTACTCTATTGATAAGTGATAAATCATCAATTAAGTGATAAATCATCAATAAAGTGATAAATCATCAATAAAGAAAATGGTAAATCATCAACTTATAAATAAAATAAGTGACAAATCATAAATAAGTGATGACTCATCAATAAAGTAAGTGATAAATCATCAATAAAATGATAAATCGTCAATAAGTGATAACTTATCAATAAAGTAAGTGATAAATCATTAATAAAGTGATAAGTTGTCAAAAAATGATAAATCATCAATAAGTGATAAATCATCAATAAAATAAGTGATAAATCATCAATAAGTGATAACTTATCAATAAAGTAAATGATAAATCATCAATAAAGTGATAAATCATCAATAAAGTAAGTTAAAATTTAGGAAGAATTTAGGAGGAATTTAGGAAGATGTTAGGAGGAGTTTAGGAAGAAATTAGGAAGAATTTAGGAAGTATTTACAGGGAATTTATGAAGAATTTAGGAGACATTTAGGAAGAATTTAGGAAGAAATTAGGAAGAATTTAGGAAGTATTTACAGAGAATTTAGGAAGATGTTAGGAAGAATTTAGGAGGAATTTA